TTACAATCGGGCGCATAGTTTTGGAGATCTCATGATGAGTGAGTGTTTCAGTTGTACATCATTACATAGATTTTACAAATTCTTGTTAAATGGAGTGCCTAAGATAGTAATGGAGCTAAACTGTTGTTTTTACATCATTATGCTAAAAATGTGAAACCTTAGTCCAATGCCAATAGTACTCGTACATTGACATTTTTTATTGAATACGAGTGACAAACAAGCATACAGTCCAACTGATGAAAGTAGATGCTGGCCTATAGACATCAAAACTGTTATCTAAACTAGGGAGAGCCTGTATTATAGATGTCATGTATGTAGATCCTACTCGGTTCAGCCCACCCAAGCTGCAGCGTGGCTTCACCACATATGAAATATATATGACATATGGTGCAAACATACAGTATTTTATGTCTGGCGTAAGCATGATGGCTATATTGCAAGCTAGCTATATTGTTTTTCTTACATTTCCTATAGTCAACCAATGCAACACTCACAGGATAATATTTTTTTTATAGAATAAGGATGACAAATGAGCACACCGCTAGCTAGCAGTTCACCTGATAGTAAGTGGATGCTGTGGCCCATAGACATCTACGTTATCCTCAGTTAAGAATCAAAATGAACATGCGATGTCACTCTTGAGGACTATGATGGAATGCCTCATATCCAGTAGTGATGCAACAGAACTCTGTTTCTATTTCCGCAACTGTGGAAGTTCTGCATGGTTTTTAACATCCGTTTCCGCTTCTGTTTCCGCAAGTTTTATAACGGAATTTTGAATGGAACTCAGCGACGCATCCACATAAATAGATTTATTGTATTTGTAGTTAATTAGAAATTTATGTCGTGTGTAATTTAAGTGCAATCATGATGCCAAAAACAAGTCCTGTGTTAATTTAAATAAGTTATTTTGAGATTGATGATTTAGCAGCCAGATGTAAATTATGTGACAAAATATACTTGCAAAAAGGGTGCACGCAACTACCGCTTCAAAGAGCCCTCTTAAAAGCCGAAGAGTTTGCAGAGTTTGAGAAGTTAGTTGAAACTGTAAAACTTTTATCGCAAACTAAAAAACAAATCATCAGTCAAGGAATTGCGTATCTATTTATTTATAAAATGTATTCCTATGTTATAGTTAAAACCAGATTTTAGTTAAAACGTGTTTTCCCCAGTTAAAAATTGTTTTTAATATATGCCTTTGTTACAACTTAGATTTGCAAATTAATTATGTAGCAGTTATGTTTGCGTGAAGTTTATATTATTTATTTTTTACTTGAAGTTTATATTAATTATTTTAAAGAAAATAATTATTTTGTATTCAAAGTATATTAACGTCGTACTTTCGTGCTAGGGTTATACTAAATTACCTACACGCTAAACCTAAATGTGGCTCTTTAAAGGGTTTGCCCAAATTTCAGTGCCTATTTAGCTTTGGTGTATAGGTGGTACGCAGCTTCGCAAGTGAGCAATTGTTTATTGGAGCTGGACTTATATATGAATAACACTGGAACAGATTGTTAGGTGTAAAAGCGGCCGAACTACTTTTCATAATATATAACTTACCGCTACTTAACTTTGAATGTTAATTAAAAGTTTTATTTGTAATTTTTTAATGAGTATTATTTCCGTTTCCGCATCCGTTTCTGCAAAAAAATATTTTTAACATCTGTTTTCGTTTCTGCTTCCGATATGACACTTCTGTTGCATCACTAATATCCAGTAAAAAAGGGTCTCCGGATCTCTACACTCACTATACGGAACACAGCAGCATTAAGCTGCTATTTTACACTGGTATTCTGTGAGAGTGTGGTCCTTCCCTGGTTGAGCTGTCCCATTCAGGGTAGTCTATATTCTTACACCACCATGATCCAAAAAATAATCTAATTAGAATGTAACATATAGTTAACACTCAATAGTATTATAATTAATTAAGAAATCAAAGATCTGCAGTATTTATACAAATAATAAGGCACAATATTTAAAAAAATTATTGGGTAAAATTGAATAAAAGTTGATTATAATATTTTATAAATATTCGACACTGCTAATAGTACTTTAGTTTGTAAATAAAAAATAATGCTGCAGTAATTTTCACAATTGTCTATTAGTGATGGTAACACCATGATAATGAAATAAAAAAACATGTTATGCTGCAGCTATATAGTAGTTGTGGCATGAATGGGTCAGCTTGACTAGGGAGGGACCTAATATGCAATCAAAAATATAGACAATGAACAGTATATAAATTCATTCATTAATTACATCCCTTTAAATTCCTCAGCTAAACCTAGGCCTCTTTATAGGTTGCCTCATAAAATAGATATTTCTAGATAGATAGATAGATAGTAGAAGACTAGATAGATACTTCTAAATAGATATTTATATTTTATTATTTGACAGTGTATAATTGAAGAATTGACATATGATCCCATGGGTGTTGTAAGAGGCGACAGAGTGAAACACCAAGACATCATAATAAAGGCATTACTTTATGGACTTGTTTTTCATTTAATTGACTAAGTTACAATGACAAACAAGTGCTAAAGGTGTATGAGGGTCACAGATATCACATATATCCTTAATTAAGAAACCAAATGCAGATGTTTCATCACTTCTGAGCACTAAGATGGAATGCCTTGTTACCAGAAAAAAGGGTCTCTGACTTTGTCACTTACTATATATTATACAGAAGCATTATATATTATTTTGTACGTGGCAGAGCTATGCTGCAGTTACATTAGTAATATAGTTGTAGCATGAATGTGTTGGCTCAACTGGAGAAGAACCATGCTCTCACAGAATACCAGTGTAAAATAGTAGCTTAATGCGGCTGTTTCGTATGGTGAGTGTAGAGAACCGGAGACCCTTATTACTGGATACAAGGATTTCGATCTTAGACCTCACAGGTGACAATGCATCTTCATTTTGATTCATAATCGAGGATAGATGTAGTAGTCTATGGGCTACAGCAACCACTTACCATCAGGTGGACTGTGTGCTCCTTTGTAACTCTATCCTATTAAAAAAATGCTATTTAATAATGATAAGCATGGATGTTCCATGTTTGAGTCAACCTATCCTTGCTGGAGCTAAAATCATCAAAATCATATTATTGTATATAAATTTGGAAACTGGAATCTTCAAGTCTGGTAGGACTCTTTTTGTTTCTAGAAGTCAATTTGCATTGGTAGGATCGCTTACCTATTTCTGCCATCAAATAGCAGTGACTGTTTTGTTTATTTTCTTATGAAAGGTATAGAGCCCATATAATTACAGATTGTGAGGCATTCAATCTTATTCAACAACACACCTGTATTCTTCCTAACCAAGCTAGTTACTATCAGAACTGTAAAGTTTATTTGTCACTTCAACAACTTCACAAAATACAACTATGTAAAACAACAAATATAAATGATAATTGAATTATAACATTAGATTGCAATTCAAGCAGGAATTGACAAAAAGCAGTCTAAGTTCTCACTTTTTTGTATGGATTACTTACTACAAACCCAAAGACAGCTTCATCCAACAATACTGCATGCATGAGAAAAAACGGAAATTCTAATCACTTGTATCACGATTCAGTAAAAGTTGGTATGTTTACATTTTTTATAAGTAACCATGATCTTAATTTTTAAAAAAAATTGTTAATTTACTTACCAGCATTAAAAAGAAAATAATGACCCTTAATAGGCAGTAACTTTTTATTTATCTTCATACTTGGCAGCATTTCTTAACCTATAACAAATTAGATTTAAAAAATACTTATAATTTAAAATAAATATAAATATTAGGTATTAATATTTTAAATACACGTACAATATGCTGCCAGAATTACTAGCTGATTATAGTAACACTTGATGTCATAATACATGAAATAATAAAATAATACTAGTATATATTCGCCTTGCACAAACAATTTATAAGCAAAAAAAGAGCTCGTGTTTACATTTATAATACTTTATATTTATATTACTTATTTTAGTATTCGATAACAATTCATTTTTCTAAGAGTCCATGTGTTTCAATGTACATATTATCAACATTTAGTAAAATAAAACAAATAAAAATATAATTAAAAGTAAATGAAGAATCAGCTATGCATTTTTATTGACTAAACCATTTAAGGAAACTATATGAAAATAAAAATACATGTTAGATTTTTCGTTTTACAACACGACAAACGCATAACTTGTGCAGATTTTAGTAAACTTTAAACTCTATATTAAACCGGAGGTAAAGATAACTGACTTGATAAATTACAAAGCAAGATAACGGTTATCTACGATAATTTAGATTTCATTAAAAGTGACCCCGATGTATGTATTCGTATTAGCATAATCTGGCTTATTCTCTGTCTAGTGTCTACGGCTTATAACCATAGATTACTTACGTAAATAAAATTTGAGTTGCTCATCTATCTCTAGTATATAGTTAGTAATCTATGGATTACTGTGTATATTATATACTAGAGACTTTTATCGCTTTTAATTTTAACCTCAATGTGTCACCCGTAGACAGATAAATCTCTAGTAGAGTGCGCGCAAGATAACTCTGCGCGCGGCCAAAATTGGAACTAATCGTGTGCCATCTTACTGTTTATGGCACGGGGGGGTCAAGTCTCTATGGAGCCGATGCAAACGTCGGGCAAAATAAGCGAAAAAGAGACAACGCCATACGCTAGAGCTAGACAGAGAAATCACTATTGATGCTTTGCTTTGCAATATGGCGGATTATTGAAAGCGCTAAACGTACTTTGAAATATTTTTATTTCTATTGTATATTTCTTTGCTTTTATAGCATGTGCCTGAAGATTTTTACGAGATAGAGACTCATTATTTCGTGCTACTGTGTTTTTGTTTTGTGTGCCCGCTGAACGCTTAGAGATAGAGACTCATTTATTTGGTGTTTGTAATTCTTTTTGCCTGGACAATTTTACGAGATATAGACTCATTTCTTTTTTTGTTTTGTGTACGTGTGTCTGAGCATTATTTGTTAATATGTCACGCCATACGCGCTATGAACGAAAAAGAAAGTGTGCAAAGTGTAACATCACTGCCACAGAAGATGGAAACTTGAGTTTCCACAGATTTCCTCTACCTGGTAGACATACATTTTTAAAGTAAGTAACTAAGCTATTCTAATTTTTTGTTACTTTTTCCCTCATTATCTTATTAAGTACCTAGTACTTAATGTTTTTAACATTCATAATGTTCATAACATAGTAAACATAATGTTCATAACATAAATTTTTCATTGCTGGGCACATGCCTCCCCCAAGGGTCACCATAACGACCAGACCTGTGTGTCTCGCATCCATCTGCTACCCGTGACCCTTACCAGGTTATTGGTCTTATCTTGTAGAAGGCCTTCCAAACTGTGATCAAAACTACACTTAGATTTTAAAAAATCATTAATTTCAGGGCACGTGTATGGGCTGAATACTGTTACCCTACTGGAGAGTGGTCTGAGAAATCACTAAGAGACTTGCACTCGCAACACAAAATGTTATGCAGTAAGCACTTTGATGATTCCTCATTCACTAACAGTGCGAGGATAAGATTGCACAATTTTGCCATCCCAACTGGGACACAGGATTTAATGGTAAAGATTCGCCAGGAACAATGTGCAACTGCAAGTGAAAGTAAACAAGATACAAATATCTCAGTTGAAAAACCTCAAGTAAGTAAACATTAATTACTATATTACTCAAAACTCCATCAATCATTAAGCTTGATATGTGGTTGGAATTTATAAGTACAGTCAAACAAATACTTAAGCTAAAACTCACAGAAAGAAATTAATAGGCCTTGTCTAAACTCTATTTTAAATTTCATTTTGTTTTAGAGAAAGGAGTAAGCTCTTTTCTTGAAGGTCTCCAGGTCGTATCGGTCCGGAAAAATCGCCGGTGGTAAACTATTCCACAGAGAGATTACTTACTTACTCTTTTTTATTAGAAGTTCAATCATGAAGTTTTCAACAAGTTGAACACAAAAATGAGGATAATATGGCATTGGAAACATCCTGATAATTTAAATGTAGAAACTGATCAGCACTTTGTTTACAAAATAAAATAAAAAACCAGGAAAATAAAACTGCTTGTCTCTAGTTACTCAATTGGTAATGTAGTTTTGCAAGAGGTACTGGTGATTAAAGACTTAGGAGTAACTATTGACAGAAAGCTAACCTTTAAATCTCATATAAACATTATTGTTTATTTACAAAGCCCTGAAGTTCTTAGAATTTATTAAGCGCAATATAAAGGGTGTCAATTTGTTTTATATAATGCTTTTGTAAGAAGACTCCTTGAATTCGTTAGTGTCATATGGAATCCATCTTCTAGTGTGCACTCCCAACGCATTGAAAGTATTCAACATGCCTTTACTCGACATCTTGCCTTTCATGCCAGTGGTATCTCACATAGGCAGCCTTACTATCAGCGACTGGATAAGTTTAAGGTGATGTCTCTCCAAAATAGACGAAATATTCTAGATTTGAATTTTCTACATAAAATGGTACACCATTAAGTTAAGTGCATTGACCTCCTTGACAGCATTTCGTTTGCTGTTCTGCATAAATATCCCCGTTGTTGCATCGCAAAAAAAATTTCATATTCCTTATGTGAAAACTCATCTCGGTAATCATGCTCCATCGTGCATATATGTGGAAAATAGAATGAATTTTCTAAATTGTTCATTGTAATTTTCAGGTGCTAGTGTTGGAACCTTCATTACCTGTTCAGGTGCCAACCACAGCCAACCCAACTACATCTTTACCTGTTCAAGTGCCAACCATATGTGAACCAACTACTGATAGCTTGAAGGTTTGTAGTACTTATAATAATTTTCACTCACATGTATAACATTATATATGTACAACATTAAAACTTGTGAAACTTTTGTTCACATTTTTGGTTGTATAGAATGTGATGATGTTTTACTGGGCAATAGGGAATATGCATGCATTTTTTATTTGCGAAATTAATTAACTATTAGCTCTAGTAAACAATTATGAAATAATTTTTCAAAGTACCTTCATCAGCGACAATGTTATAAAGCTACAAAGATACCAATTAGGGTCCGATAAAGACTATGACGGCAATGTCTGTGCCGACCATACATCTGCCATGCAAAACAGCATTTTCGCGAGAGGGATAGATATAATTATTTAAAATTGTTGTATCTTGTTTGTTTTTATATCAATTTTGATTCTATTGCCCTGTTAGCATTATGTTTTGTATATTTTTAGATAAACTGTATGGTCTTATGAATATTTTTTCATGCATAGTCCCTATTTCGGGCACAGTGACCAATTTCTCGTATAAATAAGAAACAAACTAATGCTTGCTAATTATGTAGATTAATATTACCATAATGATTCTTACTCAGGTAATGTTGAAACTGATCATCACCTTTGTTCACAAAAATCGTCTCATTGTAATTTTCAGATGCTAGTGTTGGAACCTTCATTACCTGTTCAGGTGCCAACCACAGCCAACCCAACTACATCTTTACCTGTTCAAGTGCCAACCATATGTGAACCAACTACTGATAGCTTGAAGGTTTGTAGTACTTATACTAATTTTCATGAACAATCTTAATCACAGTGACCAATATCTCATAATTAAATAAGTATAATAAACAAGCTTTTGACTTTGGCGCTTGCTCAGGTATCAAGAGTTTTCTTCATTGTTTATTAACTACCTACAAGAGTGACACTGAAAGTTCTTAGAAAATCAAAAACTGAACAAACTAGGAAGTTATATCAATATAACTTAATTTTTATTATATATTATAAAAAAGCGCTGTCAAATCGTAAGTAGCTGTTTTCCTCTAGGACACGATGTTAGTTTTAACCGGGGAACCTAACCTAATTTAAATATATGTTTGTGAAGTATTCATATTAAAAACTTACCAATCATGAATTTTTAATAATATGTATATGTCTATTCATGTCATTATATTACTTAAAACTAATATTGCAAAAAAACAACTTATAAACTCTACTTCAAAACAAACAAATTAAATAAGCAAAATGGCGGATTGTGTCAGCGCTACTGAAGTAGCAATCGTGTCCTGGCCGGAAACTATTTTAGCGCTAGTAAGCGCTTGCTAGCGCTTTTTTCTGCCAAACGCACCCATTGTACGAAAATTTTCTAGCGTTGAGTTCATGTTGTCGTGACACAGACAATTTTCAATTTGCCGCCAAATCGTAAGCAAGTGACAAATTAATAAAATACATACACATTGGGTGCGTTTGGCAGAAAAAAGCGCTAGCAAGCGCTTACAAGCGCTAAAATAGTTTTCGGCCAGGACACGATTGCTACTTCAGTAGCGCTGACACAATCCGCCATTTTGCTTATTTAATTTGTTTGTTTTGAAGTAAAGTTTATAAGTTCTTATGTGCAATATTAGTTTTAAGTAATATAATGACTTGAATAAACATATACATGTTATTAAAAATTCATGATTGGTAAGTTTTTAATATGAATACTTTACAAACATATATTTAAATTAGGTTAGGTTACCCGGTTAAAACTAACATCGTGTCCTAGAGGAAAATAGCTACTTACGCTTTGACAGCACTTACCGCTTACGATCGCCATTTTGTTTACAAGCGCTTGCTAGCGCTTTTTTCTGCCAAACGCACCCAATAATATTGGTAAAGAGTTCCACTTTCAAAACTTGAACTTATTTTTTATTATATCGTTTGCAAGTGGCCAGTGCTAAAAACTTTCATTGTTGCCCTCATATGTATAGGTTTCGAACCTACAGTCTGTTTATGTATTGTTTAAGAAATGAGGATCTATATGATCACAATATTTAACTTATTTCCAGATGCCAAGGACTAAAGGAATTTTGAAGGAACTAGATTTAAGCAAGTCATTGGAATTGACCCCTAAGAAACTTAAACTGTATAAAAGATGTAGGAGAAATTTGAGCGAAATAATGAGACTTAGAAAAAAAATTAAGAAACAACCACGTGCCCTCTTCAAAACATTAACTACAAATAGTAATGTCCAAAGTCTCATGGACAAAAATATATCAGGGCCATTTGCTTTATTGTTGCAAAGTCAACTGCAAAATACTCCCAGAAAACTAACTGGTCGGAGGTGGAGTATAGATGACAAAGTTATGGCTTTAAGCATCTATAAAAGGTCTACTGGCTGCTATAGACTGCTGAGGCGACTTTTTTGTCTACCAAGTGAAGGTACATTAAAAGCATTGCTGAATAGAATTCCGATGAAATGCGGTATAAATAGCCAAATATTCAAAACAATTAAAGATATAACTAAAAATCGAGAACCAGAAGAAAATCTGTGCATTTTGGCATTTGACGAAATGTCAATACGAAAACATTTGCAATATAATAGTAAACAAGATGTAATTGATGGTTATCAAGATCATGGAAATCAAGGCAGAACTATGGAGCCAGCCACACATGCATTGCTTTTTATGGCTATTGGAATCCGAAAAAAGTGGAAGCAGCCTTTAGCTTTCTACTTTTCTGGTGACTGTGTTACGGCTGATAGATTATCTGTTCTTATAAAAGAAGTAAGTATGCAATACAGTTGACTGAAGAAAAAAAACCATTGCATACTCAATATATTATATAATTATATATTTGTATTTACAGGTACTTGATGCAAGCTTCCAAGCTGGGTTGAATGTCACAGCTACTGTATCGGACAACTTTGGTGTGAACATCAAAGCACTAAACTCCCTTGGTTCCTCAGTGGCTCAACCATATTTTGAGTTTAAAGGCCATGAAATCGTCACAATTATAGACCCACCTCACCTAATCAAATGCTTCAGAAATAATTTACTGAAGTACGACATTAAATGCCCTCAAGTATTGCAAATTGATGGAAAATCTATACCAGGTAATTTAAATGTTGTAAATAATAGATAATAAGTAGGTATGACATGAGTACATGACTAAGGTCAAAGGTGGCAATTCAAGCTTCATAAGATTTATCTTGTCTTGTGCAACCCGCCGCGCGGATGATCATCAGATTAATATAAACTAACACAGACTCAATAAATGTATTTTATTAATACTTCTGTTATTATTTATAATATATTTTACATGTTTATTATTACAGGTGTAGCCAAGTGGAGCCACATTAAATCATTCTTTGAAAAGGACAATGAAAATCCAAATTTTGTTTTTGCACCTGCTTTAACCAAGCAGCATATTGAACCCAATTTTAAACAAAAGATGAAAGTCAGCTTAGCTTGCCAAGTATTCAGCCATTCAGTTGCTGCAGGAATGCTTGCAAAGATTGCGAACAGTAAGTTGTTTTATTGGATAACTTTTAATCATCATCATCATCATCATTACAGCCCTTTACAAGTCCACTGCTGAACATAGGCCTCCCCCAAGGTATGCCACAAAGCACCGTCCTGAGCCACCTGCATCCATCGACTTCCTTCATGTCTTACCAGGTCGTCACTCCATCTAGTGGAGGGTCGCCCTACACTTCGTCTACCGGTATGAGGCTGCCACTCGAGAACCTTTTTTCCCCAACGGTTGTCGGTTCTTCGAGCTATATGGCCACCTATTTCCACTTCAGCTTACTAATCCGTTGGGCTATGTCGGTCACTCTGGTTCTACTGCGGATATCCTCATTTCTAAGTTTATTACGCAGAGAAACTCAGAGCAGCCCTCTCCATAGCTCGCTGAGCGACTTTGATCTTCCTCATAGGGCCAGCAGTGAAGGACCACGTCTCAGTTCCATATGTCATCACTGGCAACACGCACTGGTTGTACAACTTAGTTTTCTTAATTATTTTAATAATAACTTTTAATAATCTTCAAAAATAATCGACGTCTCGAAATATAATATAATAGTTTCTGAATATGTCAATCAACTATTATTAGAGCTTATTCAAATAATCATTCTAATAAGATGAAATTAAGCTACTTCGCGTTGACAGCTTTCTTTTATAATTGAATATTTTTATAAAGATTACTTTATTTAGTGTAATTTTGATTACTTATTAGGTGTAATTTTTATGCCTGCTGTACACGCTCGTCTCGTCTTGTCACGTGCCTCCCTCCCCGACACGCTTCCAAGAGCGAACGAGGGCGCAAGACGCGACGCGGCGAACGCGTGAATTTCCCATTGTCTTCAATTTCATTTTCCCTAACCTTTCACTATAAAATAAAAAAATAAGTGTTTACTTTACAGATGAACTGCCGCAAGAAGCAACGACGACAGCCATGCTGATAGAAAAAATAGACCAGCTGTTCGACACCTTAAATGGCGATACGCCTGATCAGAAAAGAGGAAAAAAATTCCTTACAAATTTTACCCGCAGAAGTCCACATTTAAATTTTTTTTAAGGAAATGAAAATCCTGTTCCAAGAATTACAATTTATTGGGGCCAGATGCAAGCCGCCTTCGCAGGAAGGTTTTGTTAGAACTATAAATGCAGTTGAGCGTCTATTTTTTAATTTAGAAAGGCAATATGGTATAAAAAGTTTATCAACGCGCAGGCTCAATCAAGATCCATTAGAAAACTGTTTTGGTTGCATCCGCAGCAATTGTGGATGCAACCCGAACCCAAACACCCTACAATTTGTTGCAGCTCTCAAAACCTCCATGATCAACAATTTATTGCATAGCAGTAAAAATAAAAATTGCAAAGAAGACGATAATGTCATATTAAATGATTTAAAATCTTTTTTAAGTCAAGTTGACCAAAATAAAGAAACAAATGTAGCTGTTAAAACATTTGATTTAACAGAAGGTGTAGAAGCATCTAATACTGTAATACCTCAGTGTTCTGGAGAACTGCAAGCTTGCGCATATGTATGTGGCTTCATGATAAAAAAATTAGTACCCATTTGCCATCAGTGCAAAATCACAATGCTTGCAGACCAGAACACAGAGGTAAGTCATTTATTCACAAGCTTTAAAGAATACAGTTGTATGCGCAACAGTCTACATTATGTTAATAAATTTTTTACGGAGACAGTGGAGATTGCTGCAACAATTGTTAATAAATTTTTGGATGAGCATGGGTGTAAAATAAATATAAAAAATGAACTTATAGAAATTTTAAGAAGAAAATTAAATTTCGAATGGTTGCTTGGTTGTTCTGAGCACTATGATAAAAATAAAATGCATATAATTATTTCCACTATATGTATATGTATAAAACGACACTATATTTTAAAAAATAGGCAGTTCACCGATGAAGCTTCGAAAAAAGCAATGAAAAGAAAAATAAATATTTTAAAACACGCTTACAACTTAGTTTTATTTAATACCTTTCCATAAATATGTATGCATCATGAAAATAAACCAAAATTCAGGTAATTTTCAAATTAAATACCAGAATTTCGCTTTGTTTTCATGATACATGGCATAAAATAAAATGAAATAAAATCATGAGTTTATCATCGGATTTGAAGTCTGGCGCGAAAATTAGTTCACGGGTCAAAAACTGGCGCGCTAGTGTCGCAAGTTGTTGGCATTTTTTTTGTATGAAGTTTTCGTTCTTCCCGTCAGGGTAAATGTGTTCTGTGGTTTATGGCAAGTGTCTAAACAGAGTGGTAGGTGTCCTGTTTTTATTCTTTTTTGCAGTAATTAATCGTTAGCATTATGCCGAAAGTGATTAAAAGTGCTGGCAGGGATGTTATTTTGAAGGTCAAACGTGCTTGTGAAGAAGAACGAGACAATAACGGGCCTATAGTACCGTTTTCCAAAGTTAGAGCCCGCGTTGCATATTTAACAGGTAATTTTTAGGGATGCCATTACAATAAAATTCCCCAATTTTCTCTATTTGTTCCTTTTTAATTTCCTCGTGTCATTAATATCATGTATTTATAATGCATTGTTTTTATTTTGTTTTAGGTGTTTCTGAACGCACCGTCACCCAGATAAGTCAAGAGGGTAATATAGCAGAAGCTTCATCTTCTAAAATTGTGACGCCGGGAAAAACTAGGAACCGAAGGAAAAAAATTTATGATTTAGACGATTTCGATATGTGCGCTATAAGGCATTTAATTCAATCATTTTACGTCGTGAAGAAGGAGATTCCTACCATAAATAAACTTTGGTTGGAATTGAAAACTGATATTGGTTTTAAATATGGCAGAACATCGTTGAGGAGTATTTTAAAGACTATGGGCTACAATTACAAAAGGTGCCAGTCTAAACGAAAAGTATTGGTAGAACGCAGTGATATTGCAGCTTGGAGAGCAAAATATATTCTGAGGTTGCGCAAGAATCGTCAGGAAGAAAATCGACCGGTAATTTATGTTGACGAAACGTATAAACATGCTTCATACCACCTTCAAAAATGTTGGCAATCGAAGGAACAGCCTGGTATTCTTGCTTCTGATAGCGTCGGTGCAAGATGGATAATAGCCCATGGTGGAGGTAAAACTGGGTTTGTTGAAAACGGACTGCTGCTGTTCAGGTCTAACTCCAAATCGAATGACTATCATGACGATATGAATTCAGCTAACTTCATGCGGTGGATGAAAGAAAAAAATTGTGCCGAATCTTCCAACGAATTGCATTGTAGTGATGGATAATGCGTCATACCACTGCACACAGATCAACAAGGCGCCTACAATTGGCAATACAAAAGCAGAGCTCCAAGGATGGCTTACGAGAAATGGTATTACATTTGAAGACTGTTGGACAAAAGCGCAATTATACGAATTAATTAAAAAATACAAAGGAGACCCACAGTACGAAATAGATCAAATGCTAAATGAATATGGACATGAGGTTCTCCGTTTGCCGCCTTACCACTGCGATTTAAATCCCATAGAAAAAATTTGGGCAATAGTAAAGAGACGCATTGCAGAGAAAAATATCACTCAAGCTCCTAGCGAAATAGCTGCTATTACTGAGGCGGCGTTTAGAACAGTAACGACAGAAGAATGGTTCAACGTATGCTAACATGTAGAAAAAATAGAAGATAAATATTTCCAATCAGATAGGCTGATGGATATGGAAATGGATGAATTTGTAATTAATGTTACAGGTGACACATCCGAGTCATCTGATGAAGGCTCTAGCATGGATTCTGATGAAGATATGCGAATGGAAGGCGTTGATCCACTGCAGGACCATTGTTACACCAAATTTATAAATAATAATAGGTATTCAATAAAAGATTTACAAGGTTTCCTTGGACTTTTTATTTCGTTCTTTATAATAAATATTATAATGCTATTTCAGTTGTTTCAAAATACCTTTTTGGAAAAATTTATTATAGACAAAATATCAGTAGTCATTAATCTTAGTATTAGTCCTTTTTATACACGCATATAATAGGTACCTGTAATTGTGTAAAAAAAATTGTAGTGGCGTAGTTAAACTTGTGTAGTGTGGTATGAAACTTATGAAAGTTAGAATCAAGAAATATATTTATTATGCGGATCTTAAACAATAAATATGGGGTTTAAAAAATTATTAGGTCTTTGTAAGTTTAGGCTGAACATTACAGTTTTTTTAATTGAGATTTGGTAATCAATTAGGTAATTTATGTAATTTGATATAATTATACAATTCCAGTAATAAGATTAAACGAAGGAAAAAATATTAGTTAAGCTGGCAACATTAAGCACGCCATCAGTCGCGCGCAGAGTTATCTTGCGCGCACTATATATAGTTAGTAATCTATGCAGATAAACCTCTGAGGTTTCACTGTCTACGGTGTCACCATAGAATCACCATAGATTATTTTTTATTAACTGGCTTACAGCTCTGGGTTCTAGCTCTTCTGAGCCTCACCATAGATTACTATACATATATATGTCACATAATACTATTACTTCTAGTGTTGCCCTATCCAAAAACTGATCAGTGGTAGGCCTATTTAAAAATACGGTAGATTTTAAAAGTACGGTGATTGGACTAGGAAACAAAACCGTGTATATACGGTATAATACGTTTATTAAAATAATTAAAAATACAATCAACCCCTATTAGAAAAAATAACCGGAAATGAGAAGAAATGAGGAAATAACTTATTATTCTGAATCAGACACTAAAATCTCCTCATTTTCGTAAATGTTTTGGTTTAATTTTTTTAACATTTTACTATCGCGTGTCGCTAAGTCTATACAGTTTTCATCGTGTCTTTTAATTGACTGCTGTGTCAACAAAATGTGCCCTTTTATTGAACGAGTTATAAGTGTGTTTCCTTTTTTGTCTGTTGTTCACGTGACTGAAAATCCGCTCGCACCCCGCATTGAAGTGCGGCAATGATAATATTCCAAACATGAACGACGGCAGGTGCTGAAAAAAACGTCTGTTTTCCACACTAATTGCGCAACCTGATGCCAGAATTTATCAGGTGGATGCTGACTTGCATCTAAGTCTTTCGGTAAGTGAAGAAGTAATCGACAACATTCATAATCGAGTTCCTGTTGGTCCTTTAAAGTTTTTGAGGTCAATCTGGGGTAGTGTATATAAAATCGCCAGGATTTCCAGTCTTTCTGGAAATACGCAATTTTCTGGATCAAGTTGTGATATGGTCGTGATGAGTTGACTTTAATACCTTTTTCCGGTCTTCTTCAATTAGTTCTAATTGCTTTTGAACTCAAAGTCCAAGATAAATCATTTAACTCTTTGTGATATCTTTCTTCAGTAGGGTCAATCAATTTGATTGGAGTTCAATTTAAATAAGTGGTTTTAAAAATTAACGACATTAGTTCGGTGTACAAAATTACCTACCATTTTTGAATTCAGTTTTGTGATCACAAAAGATTTACTTTGAAAGTAGGTATTAACTGTGGTGAATTTCGGTAACATCCATCCTGAGAAATAATAATACGCTTTATAACGGGGTCGTTAAGATGGGCGTTAATTTCCTGGCACTCTGCGTTCTTGAGCCATTTTCCATCGAAGTAGAGGCGCAATGCTCTCCACTGCTCAAATATTCTATCGACGACAGCATTTATTGAAAGCCAATGTGTCTGCACAGGTCGAAAATTCAATGAAATTCTACTTCAGAAAACTGTTAAAATTCCACAAACTAACTTTGTCTCTTGTTAATGGTCTTAAATTAATTGTATATATACTTATCCAACTTTTCACAGTTGTAAGGAAGTTCTTTAGAGACATCGTTAGCACAAAGATGCAAGGAATAGCAAACGTATTTTACGGTACATTGTACGGTGATTCCTGGACAAAGTTGAATAAATCGGCTAGAGGCGGAATTATGGC